CTAATTATATATATATATATATATATATATATGTATATTTATATATGCTGCTCGACACAACCAAAAAGGGAAAAAACAAAGAAGCCTCGAAATTGCTCTGCACATAGGAGAAAGCAAAAAACCCAAATCTATCCGCAGAAAGAGACCGCCCAATCTGTTGGCATTTGCACAAGAAGACAGCCCCACAGCCGAATATGCTCTGCACAGAAGGGAGAACACCCACCTAGATCTGTTCGCGAAAGAGCCAACGCCGTCAACCAACCTCTGTTCTTCTCTGCCAGCTTTGTTTGGGAGGGATAGCAACACAAGTATGGCTTGTTCTTCATTGGACGGTGTTGTTAATTCTTAACTTTGAATTTTTTATCATGATTGTCTGTTGGGATTACCAAATTATGGCTGTTGAGAACATAAATATGTGTGGCTAGATTTCTTTGAACTAGGGATGGATGGATTTTAATTTTTGGATGATATTCTTTTTAGTTTAATTCAAGATTTATTGGATATTTGCATGATAAGTTTATATTATTGAACTTAATGCATTGAAAGTCTGATTACTTTTCAATTGATTTAGTGATTTATGCATGAACTTGAGAAAGAATTGCATAAATTAGACCAATAATAATATAAATCGTGTCTTAGACTATGAGACTGAAAGGTAATTAGGTCACATCTGGTAGTAGAGGAAAAGAAGAGAGTTAGTAGCTCCCCTTCTTAAGCTAGAGGTTTTCATAGAATTTAATGCTCGTTTAAAATTACACAGAGATATGATTAATTTAGCAAACAAATGAAGGATTAGCTTGATTTGAGAAAACTGGTTAATTAATTTAAGGAAATCCATCATCTCATGTGATAACACTATTAGTTGAGCTTGAATTAAATTCATTAAATAGTTACATAATTCAGAATTAAATAAAATCTAAACCCTAATTCCTTCCTATTCATAGTTTCTTAACTTATAAAATTCCTTTAGTTTAATTCTTTTAGTTTGAGTAGTTTTCTTTTAAATAGTTTAGTTTTACTCTATTAATTGGTTAATTCAACTTAGGTTAGATTAATATTGTCTTAATAGTGTAGGATAGTCATTGAGAGAATGATATTTTACTCATCTTATACTGCATAATCGATTAGGTTCACTTGATTGCGTATTTGGTGCATCAGAATTCTTTCTAGTTGTTGACAAGTTACTCCTCAACTTTTGAAAAATGTTAAATATAGTATTTATATTTCTATTTTTTTTACAACTTTTGGTTTTTGAATTTCAAAATTTTTTGTCAAATATAATAATTAACCAAGATGAAATTTCAACTTACATTCATTAATATTCTAATTTTAATTTACAATAATCAATGATATAATTAAAATTTTATAATTTCTAAAAAAATTTAATTTATTATTAAATATTAATAT